TAAACATGAGCGTATTCGTAAGAGACATGCTCTAGACTCAATGTTCTGATCTGTGGCAGACTATTTACTTGTATTTATACTTGCCGGCTGATTGGGCATACAAGTTAGTTGCAAGTATGCAGTTTATCATAAGGCGGAACACGATTTAATTGAGATATAGTGGTTACAAGTTATTAAAATCAGTTAAGCTTATGTGTCATATTACGAAGTGATGTGGTGCTGCAAAATGTATTTAGCTAAATAAGTTTTTACAAGATGATTAATAGTGAGTGATGCTCATGTGATTATCAGGGAGAACATAAGTTGTAACCAGGGGGAGTACACTCCCAACTCACGTCTATGATAATGGCTTGAACCTTAGTCAGTGTTGGGGTAAATTCGACATTGATGTTTTCAGTTTGCAGGAGATTTGCTCGACTGCTTATATTGATTATTTGCATGCATGATTGTGTCGCTAAACCATCAATTAGACTGACAAGGTTTTGAGATATTTACTGAATGAGCAACTGATAGAGAAACATACTGTAATCATCTGTGATGGATGAAGATACCAAAAAAAACAACACCATTTAATGGTAATTATAAGTCAATTTGTTGACCGATTTCGTTACTAGTTTCATTAACTTTATCAGTCATATTACGTGATTGTCAAGTTATGACAATGCTTCATGACGACATCCTGAAACTATTAAATTTAACTAGTTATAGTGTTGATTAAGGATTGGTCAGTGGAAAAATAGGTATTGTTGCTTTAGGTGATTCAAAATCATCAGATATTTATAACGTTAAAGAATCCGAGACGCCTAATTTAATTATAAATTTCAATTCAGAAATATTCGTTTAGTGTTCATTCTAGTAGGCTACGGAGTTTTGATTTTAAACGTTTGTTTAACCAACAGCTACTTGGGGATTTAGTTATTTCACTAGTGCAGTTGATAGTATCTAAATTTTCAATCTTATTATCTAAACTATGTTCGCATTTTAGGCTGCTAATATGATAAACCAATCCATAAACCCAAATACGATTAGCAACAACGACTATGATGGGTTTATTGATAAATGTTAGAGGCGATCCAGATGATTTCTAAATTTATAAGACATGGAAATATAGTGTAACGTATGTATGGGCCAGGTAATATGCAGGTTGTTGACGTATATGACGATTTAAAAATAATGAACATGACCAGAAAATAATTTTAAAGTTTAGACTGCTTGTGAAACTTCAGGCAGGAATATGATGCGTTATAAACATTCCATAAGAAGTTACTGCATTTAGCCTAGGGACACTTACAAATATATAGCAAAAGGAACCGGAAAACATATACATGTTAAGTAAAAAAAATCATCCAGTAAAATAGTTGAACTCGCCTGGATTATTTTTGAAAATTAGATTATTCAGTGGACGACATATATAACGCCATTCGTGAGGAGTAGTAATGATCCAAAAGCATCCAGAATAAAACATACAGTATGGCAATCACTTCCAGGGTGCTTGATGCTGTTGAGGTCTTTGGGACTCGCTCTGATCAGAACAACTGAATGAATCCAGATAATTGTGTGTGCCATCTAAAATGAACTTATGATTGCAGAAAACTTATAGCCGGAACTCACCGTATGTTTTTGGAGTAGTCATCCTCGTTGTTTGGCAATGGAACTCGAGAATATGAAATTAGGCAGGCAGTGGTCGGAAGAAAAGATATTATAGGATAGTGCATCGTTTAAAACAGGATGAGGTGTTAAGTGAAGGAACACTGAGAATTAGATCCAGATAACTATTTAGTCCTTGATCGCATTGTTAGTCAATGTATATTTACGCTATTTACAGGTCATATTTGCTAGAGCTTGATGTTTAAACAAGACTATGTCGCTGAAGCATGTAAATGCTATTACAGCTTGTTAACAAATCATCAAAGCTAATTAGTTAATATAGACGACCAGTTTTTATTATCGATTGAGCTAGTTTGTCATGAGGACTAATCAATATAACACTACAATGATGCATGTGAGCATTAATCAGAAGACTATTAGAATACAGGGTTAACATAAATATAAAATCGATCGAGAAAGTTGAAGTGGAAATAAGGATTAATAATAATAGGTTGCGTTTCTTTAGTTGGGCTCACCAATGTAGAATTATGATCTACTATGATATTAGTACTGCTCTAATAATAGACCTAATCCTAAATTTGTAGATTCGTCATGATATAACTGCCTAATCTATAAGATCTTACGTGGAAGTCACACCATCGACTACGCCAACTCACTGTATCGTATCAATTACCAATACATGATGAAGAACAAGGTTAGGTTAGAGAAGGAACAATATATTTAATATGAATAGAGATATAAAGTAACACTGAGATGGACCACGCCTGCATGGACGAGCCATGCCACTCGATCAACTCCAGTCCAATCAATTCATTGTTCGCGCCTTCTCCATTGTTAGGTATTTCTCGGCGTTAAATATTGAATATTTAATTTCTGAGTAGTCTCGTGTTCACAGTTTTGTGGATTGTGTGGCTATTGTCCAATGCCACTACAAGACGTTCAGATCTCATTAGAGAAACTCGTAGATATTTTGGATGTATACTCAGTGCTATAGGGAAAGGTTGGAATGCTAATTTGAAACGGAGATTTCCTATCTATTTTTCAAAGCGGGATGAGCTATCTACTACTCCTGATGGTATTCTGTGTTTAAGTGATCGTGTTGTCATTCCTCCTTCCTTGCGTATATCTGTTCTTGAAGATCTTCATAGTGGTCATTTAGGTGTTGAGAAAATGAAGTTCTTGGCAAGGCTCACATGCTGGTGGCCAGAGATAAATGCAGATATATGTCGTACGGCAAACAATTGTGAGAAACGTCATCTGTTGAAAAATCATCCTTTGAAGTGGGTGCCATGGCCAGTATCGTCTGAGGCCTGGCGGAGGATTCATACCGACTATTGTGGACCATTTCTAGGTAAATACTACGCACTAGTAGTCATTGATTTTTTTTCAAAGTGGCCTGAAGCTTTTTTCACAACTTCACCAAATTCTGATTTCACAATACAAGCATTAAGAAAGGTGTTTAGTCGAGAAAGGGTTCACATGGTGTTGGTGACTGATAATGGCTCACATTTTGCTGCAGATGCAGTCACTACCTGGTTGAACGATATAGGGTGCAAACATCTATTTACTGCTCCCAGACATCCGTGTTCTAATGGTCAGGCAGAGAATTTTGTTAGGACATTAAAGACTGCTATTGATTCTATAGCTGGAGAGGGGAGTAGATACCTTTCTATTGCAATATAGAAATGCCAAACATTCGGTGACGAAGGAGACTCCAGCGAAGCTGTTGAAAGGAAGAATTCTTCGGTGGAATATGAGATGTGTGGAGTCTGCAGAAGTTACATACTATCGAGGAAATGATATTCGACCATCTACGTGTATTGTTCTGAAGAATGTCGGAAAATCGATGGTGCGAATTCTAGACATCGATGACTTAAGTACACACAGTCGACATATAGATCAAATACAATTCCAGGAACCAGGTGAGTCAGTTCCAATTTCGATTGTTAATTCTAATGCTAATGAGCATATTCTAGATAATACAGAATCCTTATCCAATACAATGTCAGACAGACTCAGGATGAATTTGAGAAGAAGACGTACGATTGCTTACAAACACCTAGACTCCAATTTAAGCTGTGGCGGATGTGATGTTTGAATGAACCAATGATACCTTTGTACTTGTTGAATACTTGATTTCGAATTACAAATACAATACATTCGTTTGTGCTTGTGTCTCACTTCTTAATTCAGTTGCGTTATTTCTGGGACTCTTAGTTCATACTACAATTCAAATAACTGAAATATTATAACAGTTCACTGATCCTCGTCGAGATTAAGGTCAACCAACGTGCATCGATGAATTGGGTGCCATGGACTGGATCATGCAGAAGTGGTTGCACTCTGTTTCTTGCACTTACTCTTACAAATATATCACCGTAATAACGTCGTTTGTGTTGTATGATCACCAAATCAGCCATGATGCCTGAATACGACGGAAGAGTAATCCACGTTGGGTATTAGCTGAGAGGTGTGACCCTGATGTTAACACGTTGGTCACACAATTCCCGTCTGACTCGAGTACACTCTCAGTCACTCAACACCGATCATTCACGTTAGTGATATACACACCCATGTCAACAAGGTGTAATATTCGTCTCTTTGTTAGTTGTCAAAGACTGCTCTTTTCTCCAGTAACCAACCCTTCGATTCGTGGATATTAAATAACATCAGGGTCTTATATCTAACGTGATTTTTTCCATGGTTTGGTACAGATGAAGCTGTGCTGAGAGATACTATCACATTACAATGAATTCAATTCAATAAATTGTTTAATGATTCGGATCACATAGACATGGTGGAATGCATGAAATTCAACAAACTGTTGATTAGTTCAGATCGCTTAGAGTCGGATATTTAAATAGGTATACCTATGCTATGACCTTTTATGTGAAACTGCAGAAACTTATTTTCAAGTCTAGGTTGTTTCTTCACATAATCTAACCAGCAATACAAACTAGGCTTTTCTTAACATCAGCAGACTTTGTAGACAAATGGGTCACATTTATTGAGGTACGAATAGTCGGGTTTTCAGCCTTGAGTTTGTAATTTCTCAAATATCGTTTAAACCGAGACGCTAGGAGCCCAATCAAAAAGGAATGTTAATGAGAAATGAGATACATGGATATAAATTCTAGTTGTCTCTAGACCTTTTTCAATCCTAAGATCATGACACGTAGACCGGACCAAGTGGAGGTGGTATTCTTGTCAATATTTATTAAATACAAAGACGATGAATGAATAGAAAGCATAAACGTACGGAACTCTCCAACCATGATGAATCAACTGTGCAGTGAAATTGAAATGAGAACAACTTGCAATCTACCACCAAGTTAGATTAGTAACCATTTCGTCGTTCACTCGTACTTTGAGACATTGTCTCCAACATAGGACTTCGCAAAAGGTTGATTAAACGCTTCAAAAGGATCTAATGATCTTATATCAAGATTCTATTTAAGCCAATCTGATAGCAGTTAGAAATCATAACAGTCAACATGGAATTAATGCCGATAATATTGTGTTTCTGTAGGAATTTATACGAATAAGCTTTTACATTCCGTGATTTCCCATGAAATTTCGGTAAACTTTAGGATCTGTGCAATAATTTGAAGCTATTTATGTACAACAGAAGCTAACAATCCTATTGAACTCATCTCCTATTAAACTACATTTCATCAGCTAATTTTACGGATAAGTGATCACCAAATAATTGCCCATTTAACACGTGTGGAAATACTAAACGACGCTCATTTACTCATAAGAGTAGCGTCCAATCTTAAATGTAAGGTTACGTAGACAATAAATATCAGCGAGCATGAAGTCTGTGTATAAAAGAAACCTTATCATTAAGTTAATAGGTATCTGCAAGTTACGAATAGTTTAATAAAAAATGAATTTGTTTAATTTATCACGTATTCATTTTAGACGATGCTTGCAAAGAAGGCCTGATGAGATATGATATTGACGAGACAGCCGATCTATTTCAGACGACGAAGTCTCCAAATTTTATTTGCTTATAATTGAGCGAATCAAATAATCTCAACGTATTTCATCACAGCCCATGTATTTGTGAGGCACTTTATATTTCAGGAATACCATTATCGTTCATCTGGATATTAGGAAATTCACTGGAGCTATTTATACCTGAAATGTAAACAAAATAGGTAAAATTAAAACTTAAGTTAGTTTGATATTTGCTTTATATTGATAGAAGAGTGGCCCACCAAAAAAGAGTCTATTTCAGTGACAATACATTTTGGATTAAAAACAAACATATCAGTCTATATACTAAAATAAATAAAAACCTGTCTTGAAGTTCAGTCTATTAACTAAATGGTAACTAATATCCATTTCATTCGGTTATGAAATCAGTGGTTATGCTCATTTACAACTGCACCATATTAGAACTGAGTCTGTACGTGTTGAAATTCATTCTTAATTCTATTCAGCTATATTTCCAGGTATTTTAGAACACTTTTAAGTAGACATGATAAAAGTAGTGTAGAAAGTGGCAGCATTCCTAAACACACCATTTTCCAATCGTTTAAAATCCTTTAGAATGTACGTTTTTGCTCATTTAGTGAATGTTTGTGGTTTATTTCAGATTGAATGTTTTGTTATCAATTTTCTACCATAGTAGAATATTATTAGTTTCTCATAACCTTTGATGATGGACTCAGTAAAAAGCGTTCACCTTTAATGTGTAAATAGTAAAATTTTGGCTAAAAGCTTAATATGATAAACGGATTTCTTACCTACAAATGTCAAATAGAGTAACCAAATATGTCTGTTTGACGGTTAAAGGTAATTAGCAGGAATTTTCGGACCTAAGTTGTAGTTCAGTGACACTTGTAATTGGCGATAACCTGTTATCCTAAGGAAACTGAGGTCTTCCGTAACATTTGAATCAGACCCATTCAGTATTACTGTAGTGTTGGTTATTATGTTCAGCCCAAATACCTTATTCTGGCTTTGGGACAGGCCAATCTATTCATTCCAATCGAGTCACATTTTGACCTTGTTAATTATTCGCTTACCAATCTTGACTGTTTTTATATGAGCGCATATGTGTGTGCCCTTCTTATCCCATTCATCACATGTCTGTAGCTTAATTTTGTGTGACTATAAATATTGATTAACGCTTGGTTAAAGGGGAGTTGGCTTCCCCGCCATCTCCACTGTGCGTCGTTTTGCTCCTCTCTATTCCATTCGCTTCATATACAAAATCTATGTATTCAAAAGTCCATTCTCGTTATTTGACTTATTTAATTCCGTTATTGACTAACGCGATTTAAGTTGATGATTATATACGAGGATAGGTGACATATATATTTCAATAACAATCATTCATTCGATCAAATTGGAGTCAGATCTCGGGCCACTAAAGTGATGAGCCCTTTCAACATCATCGTCTGATCTAAATGACGACAAAATAAAGGAGCCCACTAAATTAACACCAAGCTATTTTGTCAGCAATCAACATCATGTGAAATCAACTACTCAATAATCACTTAGTGCAAGCATCTCACTGCTGATTAAGAAGTTCAGTCATCATCACGGTAGGAGATTCAGTTTGATAAAGAGTATCAGCTATCATAACATTCAGGATCTGTTCGACAACCTGATTTTTAAAAATGCGTACCATTATGCACGATAATTGAAACAAGTAGATAAATTGCAACCTGATGAATGAAATTCTCTCAACACTAAGGAATAAACAATGTGACATCGAGGGTTATTTTAGTGGTCGATTAATATGAAAGAATTCTATTGATTTCGCTTTCCTCCATGAGTAACTTAGGTGCATATTTACTGATGACTAAAGATTTCTCAGATTTGTTTGGGAAGAGCTAGACAAATATAATACGAAGCTCTATCTTTGCACATCTGGTTGACAGTGATCGTATAGTTATTGAAACCAAATCATTTCAAATGTTCTATCATATACATTATTCACTGTCCGATTGCGTCCAATTTCTTCCTCTACATATAGCAGCAGCCATAGGTATTCGAACCTATAATCCTAGTTCATATTTTCAGAAGAAATCCGTGACAATCCCGTCCCTTTATTGGCCGAATATGACGTAATAAACGATCTAATTGTTTTACATTCTATATCTACTTGTCGTTTCTCATCTTCCGTTTATATACTTCACTTTAATTGTTTGCATACTCCTTATTACGTGATTTTAACAACGTTTTTTGGATTATTTTAAGTTCATTTTCAAAGCTGTACAGTTGCAAATATACACTTACTTTTCAAAATGATAATACTTACAGTAATAGTGATAATAAAATTATATTAAACATGGTAACAGTGAGTTAGAGTAAACAAAGGCATTTAGACGTTATTTTTTTTTAGGAAAACTAATAACAGCTTCGAATAGTACGAAACGCGCGTCCTGGATTTCACTGCTAGCCACCATTCATCTTTGTTTATAATGCTTGTGAATTAAGGCAATATCGAGGCGATAAGCACAATATGCACATGTGCCAATAAGAGACTGATTAATTGTAGTCATAAACATCCATAGGAAGATTCAAGTAAACAATACCAAGTGAATTTAATAAGAGGATTTTTGTTAAGGCCTTGAATATTAATCATGAAGAGAGATAGGGAAATTATAATTGGGAAAAGGTGGTTTAGAACTATAAGATAAAATGTTGAAATTGAGACGAATGGTAATCAGAAGAATCACAGAAATAGAAGCAAATCAGTTGGGGGTAAAAGGTTTATAGAGAAGATAGAAGGGAAGCGGATAGCTATGAAAGGAGAAGTATGAAGAAAAAAAGCTATGAGAGATTAAGACTATGGTAGAAGAAGAGATTGTACCAGTTTATTATGGACACATAATTCTGGTTTTTATAGATACATAACTGTTGCTTCGGCAGTGTCAAGAAGATGGAATACAACTGCATTTGGCGCCCTTCTACTTACATTGTAGATGACTTTGAATTCAGAGTCCACCCTGATTGAGTGACATAAGTTCACAAAGTGTTTGATTATCAAACTTCTTATTGAGTCATTCTTACCACCCATACATCTGGTTCCAAATAAATAGGTGGATTGACAAATGCACATAAAATTGGTCAAGTGAGATAATTTATCCTTCAGATTATTGTTGAATATTGATCGGCTGGAGGACACTTCGCAAAGTTGCAGGGAAGAACGTTCTTTTGCGAGTCAAAATTTCTCCTCTTCCGGACGTCTGTAACTATATCACGTTGTAGCCAACCTTTCTATGGCATACATAGAATCAAATATCTTCACCCACAACATTATACCACGATACATTTGTTGTTATAAAAAAGACTCATCTAAGATCTTTTTCAAAACGAATTAATACACTTTCATCACACATCAAATTCACCAATGAAAATGTACATGGTGAGCTACCATTCTTGGATTGCTTAGTAAAAAGAAATCCAAATGGAAGTCTAAACTTATCCATTTACCGAAAACCGACGCACTCAAATTGTTATATTGACTTCCATTCAGCACATCCTTTCAGTGCTAAGATCTCGCTAGCCTTAAATCCTTTTAGAAGAACTAACAAGATCACATCAGAGGAAGACAAACAAAAAGAACAAATGAATGTAATTAGCATCTTACAATTTAATAATTTTCCTATGAAGATTATTAGAAGCATATTAAAACAAAACAGTTTATTACGTTATAATAATGATTCGAATGAAATGCCATGGATTGGTACTGCAGTCCTACCATGCCGTCATGGCACAACAGAAGAAATCCAAAGAATCTTAAAACATCACAGAATCAAAGTATATTACAAAACAACGAACCCACTACGTAATACTTTAGTTCGCCTGAAAGAAAAAATCCCTTCCATGTCCACACGGAACTGTGTGTACAAATGAGGTTGTATCGATTGTGATGCCTATTATATTGGAGAGTCATCCCGCGAAATCGTGACTAGAGCCAAAGAACATATTAGGTACACAAAGAAACCTCCTAACAATCCTGTAGAATTGAATCAACTTCAAATTAAATCAGCAATAGCAGTTCATGCCATTTTCTACAACCACCAAATCGATTTTTAAAAAATATCAAAATATTGCAAAAAGGCTTTTCCAACTACAAAGAAAGGAGGGTAGCTGAGGCGTTCCATATAATGCTAAATCCTACTTCTCTCAATAGAAAAGAAGGCCTTACCATACATCCTACTTGGACCATCTATCCTAACCATTCAGTGTGATCGTATTTACAATTTCACACTTTCATATTACAAATTTAAACTCTATCCTTTCTTACCATAAAGGTCACACAAGTTTTCATTCTTAAACAATGCACATATACATACACACACACAAATTGACATACATATCACCTATGAATCGCCTTGACAGAAATGACATGACATCAACTTGTTCAGACCTGTTTCTGATTGATCACATAATATTATTCTTGCATTGTTCCGTTGTACTATTTAAACTTGGATTAATTTTAATTTGGTGATTTATTTTCTGAAGAAGTGACTTACACTAAGTCACGAAACGTCAGAAAATCTAATTTTCCTACTCATTAGGATATTACAGATATATTATTTTTATTTATTTATAACAATCAACCCAATGCTCAATTTATTCGAAATGATCAAATCAAACCATGGTAATGATACCTACAGTAATATATGTAATTCATTCATTCTTTTAACTTACCTAAATAATCAAAAATTAATAAAAGTAATTGTTGAAATAATTCTTGTGTATCATCAATAGATAATACAGCATCAAATAATCCAGGATTATCACGATGTATTTGTGGATATAATTGAGAAGTTCTATGAATATACCAATTTATCCATTTCTCTGAATTTTCTAATAATGTTTCTAATATATTATCATTATTACATAATAATCCAGATTGAGTATAATGAATTTGTGATAAATTAGCACGTAATCCTTTTTCATAATAATATAAATTACTTGGTAAACATAAAATAGATCGAGGTTTTAGTCCAGCTAAACGTAATCCATATAATAGTTCTAATTCACCAACAACAATACCGGCTAAACCACGACGTGCAATACTTTCTAGTATTTCCCATGATAATCCATATTGATATCCTGAATAAAATGTGTAGAATAAATTACGATTTCGTTTTTAGTATCAGAAGGGATTTTGTGGAGGTTGTAGTAATTTCAATAGTTGAAATCATGAGTCAACTGAAGTTAAACTATTATGGAAAACCTGGAAGTACTGGACGGCCGTTCCGTCCTAGTACGGGACTCCTTAGCATGCTCATCTACGATCCCATGATCTCAACTATTGAAATTACTACAATCTCCACAAAACTCCCTTCTGATAATAATCAACATATGCTCACTATTGACTGGAGTTCTGGTGAGAAGCAGTGACCAGTGGAGTTCAACTGGGTCAGTTATGAGATAGTAACTCACTGAAGACAATGGTGGATGTGTCGCTCAATTTCGTGGATTAGTTGAAGTTAGACATTAACACCGTTGGATACCGACCGGCTCAGTTGTCTAGTGGTTAAGCGCTCACGCGCGAGACCGATAAGTCGTAGGTTGGAATCTCGTGAGTCGGTGTCGTGAATGCGCACTTATGAAGAGTTCCACAATAGGACGAAACGGCCATCCAGTGCTTCCAGGTTTTCCATGGTGGTCCAGCTTCAATTGACTCTAGCTCTCAACTATTGAAATTACCAGAAAACCCCTATTGATATATGAGTTTATTTAGTGCCTATTTATCAATTTTTAGTTATGTTCAATTATTTTAAATTATACAATACTTACCCATTATTTTAGCAGTTTGAATAAATTCACCATCAATTCGTTTTTTATTAAACACTTCTGTATTCACAAAATAATAGTCGATACCGTCAATTTCCGAATTAGAATCATATAACATTTTATTCTCCATTGAATTATTATTATTATTGTTTAATCGAGTTTGGTTAGTTGTTATATTATGAGATGAATCTTTTGTTTGGATAGAATTGAATTGTTTTATTAGTTTATATTTAGGTAATCTATCTGTATGACATATAAGTGGTGCAAAATAATTATCTAATTTTTGACATAATAATTTCCTTAATTGACGTTTATGAATACCAACTGGTCCAATAATAGCAAGAATTGGATATGGTGTATCTAGACTTGGTAAAGTACTATTGATAGAAAAAAAAAGGAATTGTGAAACATTTTAGTACGAACAAATAAAAATGAATAAACAAAGAAATAGATTAAAAGCATAACTGTTAGCAAATGCTTTCAATAATGGTAAATCAGTTGATGAGATTGTAAATTTTCATTGACTGAAATGGTTAGGTGACGTGTTATTTATGCATGAACGTCGATTACCACGACGTGCAATGCTGACTAGTGTTGGAGACGAATGGGAGTAAGTTAGGGGCGGCCAAATCAAAATGTAGCATCAGTGCTTGAAGTCACTTACTTCTGGTCTGAGCCATGTTGGTAGATGCAGACTACTTGGTTGGTGTTCGTGTGACTATCGTAACCAATCGTTGAAGACTCTGAGGTGACATGGCTCAGAATCGATCACAATGGCGTAGGTGTACATACTCTCTGTCTTCCTTTAAACTATGAGATTAAAATCGCTTCATATCTTTCTTTCTACGAACTAATTCTTCCTTCCTGTACTTTGTCTTTATATGCAATCTTTCATTTATATATTACCACCTCTGAATTAACTACTTCTATGAATTCGGTGTTCATCTTGTTGTGCTAATGAGGTATGGCAATTAGGTAACTGACTGACTGACTGACTGACTGATAAAACGATACAAAACAATGATTGAATATTGGTAGTGTGATAATTTATTCAAGTAGAACAAATGTAGAACGGTTTCTTTTTCTATGACAAGAATAGAATATTGGAATTCCCATGAATAATGAGATGAAATATTCAGTACTGATAGTCAAATAAAGATATTTATTTGATAGGTTTCAAATCAAAATACGAAACTTCAATTTTATTAGATGATACATTCTGAAGTAAAACTACTGAAAAATTTCTAAATAATCATATAGGTCGAAATCTCAATTACATGTTATTAAAATACAGACCTATCCCTTAACGACATACCATAAATTTCCATTCTAGGGTTGTACAGATTATCGAATTTCACTGAGGATTCCCATAACAGAATGAAATGGCTGTTCAGTGTTATCTGATTTTCAATCGTAACCTTGTTGGGGACGTTAGATCCACAGAACTCACTTGAGGAAGCACCTAATTTTGTAATTCTATTTAGAAAATTTGAATTTCTTTGTTTTCGCGCCAAAGGCGCTCTTGTCACCTTCATGTCGTATTTCCCACTGGATAGTATCTTAAATGCTATTGGTTCGTTGCGTCTCTTAGTATGCTATTTGGTAACTCTCCCCAAGGATGGTTTTGTACTGTACTGAATTGTGTTTGTTGTTATCGCTCGTTCTGGCTGTTTGGAGAATATACTTCCCCATTCCAAGTTTAGACTTCTCCCTATAGTTAGTGGAGCTGGGACGCATCAAATAGCTAGCTTACTGGTCCTTGGTCACTGAGTCTTTGTTCTCGTTCGCAGATTAAGTGAACTCGTGATAGCGTCAACCCTAGCAGACCTAACACTGATCGGTTCATGATTTCAATAAAACACGTAATAAAGATACATCTTTCTTTTCTTTTTGAAAGGAAACTACACTTTTAAGGGACAATTATTTTAAACTGTTTAAGATTAATTTTTGTTGGCAGATTGATCACAATAATTAAAGGTGATAACGTCAAAAAAATGGATGTTAAAAATCACTGTTCCAGGGTACTACTAAATTACCTAATCAATTATCAATCTACTGTGTAACTTTACTGGGGCCAGTAAATGTCAATAACAATAGAAATAAGTAATGTTTGATTACATAAGTCAAATGAGCACATGAAAAAAGCCAGTGATTAAAAAAAATTATAATGATTATCACTTTTTCTGATTTTATGATATACTACTTTACAATATTCCCTAGAGTGAACATCAATTCTAGAATGTCAGTACATCCAGCTGACGAATCCGGAATAAGACGAAACGTGTATCATGGATTCCACTATCCGTATTACTGTCTAATATTAATTATACTTTTTTCATCAGAATGATATATTTCACTTTGTTGATTAGAATGTTTAATTAGTTTTGAAATGTTAACTAAAGATTACAGAAGTATTCAGTTACATTGTTTAAGTCATTACTTTTCTTCTTTAAAATCTGAATCAAGCTTGAATGTTTATTGGTTACTTTAATATAATTAACAGAAGATCTATTAAACAATGATCAATCAAGGGATTTGAAATGGACATAAGAGACTCATATATGTTAGGTAAATTGTGCCGAGTGAAAACGTGACATTACTAAGATGAATTGGATTTTTCAGATGGTGATGTGTATTGTATCCCGATTTGTATCAAAGATTTATTATCAATTCACTGGAATTTCACATCTAAAAATATTCTGAAAGTAGTCTGTCGAAAAATTTAAGAACCATTGATTTGCTTCCATTTCAGATTCTGACTCCGTGGTCTAAAGGTTAAGCATTCACGCGCGAGATCGTTAGGACCTGAATTCGAATCCCGCAGGGCGGGATAATGGATGCGCACTCCTGAGGAGTTCCGCGGTAGGACGAAATGGGCGTTCAGTGCTTCCAGCTTTTTCATGGTAGTCTAGTTTCAATTGACGCATGAATCCAACTACTAAATTACTATAATATTCACAAAACCCCTTTCTCATTCCATTTTATTAAAGAAAACCTAACATGTGTATTAAACACACTGTAATACTGATTCACATAAGTTGTTATCTTAAATAAAGTCAGATAATTAATCATTCGTTTCAGACTAACATTTTTGGTACATTTTAGCATAAATGTGAAATCCGATAAATATTCATATCAGTATATGGTTGTGGTGATTGTTGAGTTTGAAATGATCTTATGAATGGATGAATGTTAGACCACCATGGAAAACTTAAAAGCATTAGACGGCCGTTCTGTCCTATTGTGGGACTTCTCAGAAGTGCGCATCCACGATACTAGCTCACGAGACTCGAACCCAGGACCTATCGGTCTCACGCGTGAACGCTTAATCTCTAGACCACTAAGCAGGCCGGCATCCAACGGTGTTAATGTCCAACTTCAATTGATACTAAAAAGCTAAACATCAAGATTACATACACTCATTGTTACTCTGATTACGTCCGTGAATTTTCAGCTCATTTGTTTTTCAGTGTTCCAAATCTATACGGTACCAAGCATTTATGAACATTTTACCAGTGATTGAGTGCTGCACATAAGAGAATAATTACGCTGACGATTTAATTTCAAGCCCTAACTTTCACTTAATTGGCAAGTTGGGATGTGGTACAATGATGTGTTGATAATAAATACACATGGATAGATATAAATGATTGAAATGGATTCTTCAATGAAAATCACACTCTTATACTTAGTGTTTACTACTAGATGAACAAAAAAGATACTTGGTATACCACTTTTCTTAGTTATTGGAGAAGGAACGATTAGCTTCATACCTAATTATCAGGATACTTCTTACTTTTTGAAAAAAATTCCTTCGTAATCATTAACTTAATTGACAACGGTGCTTGTTGCAGTTTTAAATTTCTTATAATTGGTGTTTCAGTTTAAATTGAGGATTTTTGGTTCATTTAAGGGTATCTTGAGCATATGTTTTGTTGATGTCAATAGTTATTTCGTAAGTTGACAAGATTTATATACGATGTATTGCATAAATGAATTGTATTTATAACTACAACTTAACACTTAACCATAGTGATAAATATAATTATTTGTTCTACATTTTCTAATCCTTAGGAGTTCACATTTATGATCTCACAGGGGGTCGAACAAAGAACCTTTGATCTCGCAACGAGAACTTAACCTCCTGGCCATTGAGCAAGTAAACCACAGTACATATATATATATATATATATAAATATAACTTCAATCAGTTTTCGAGATTCCATGATTGTTGAAATAGAATCAGTAAATTGTGTTCACCACAAAAATTCAACAATCTCCATAAATTTTCTAAACTTATAATAATTAATATCAGATGGGTTTTGTGGATATTATAGCAATTTCAATGGTTAAGATCATGAGTCAATTGAAGTTAGACCACCATGGAAAACCGGGAGGCACTGGATGGCCGTCTTGTCTTATTGCGGGACTCCTCGGCAGTAACTCACTGGAGACAATGGTGGACGTGTCGTTCAATTTCGTGAATTAGTTCAGTGGTCCAGTGGTTAAGTGTTCGCGCGCGAAGCCGGTAGGTCCTGGGTTCGAATCTCGCAGGGAGCAAGGTCGTGGATGCGCGCTGCTGAGGAGTCCCACAATAGGACGAGACGGCCGTTCAGTGCTTCTAGGTTATCCATGGTGGTCTAGCTTCAACTGACTTATGATCTTAACCATTGGAATTATTATAATAATTAATTAAGATGAATTTACCAATCTCTTAATCGTTGCGGTTTTGTAAATTGATGCAGTAAATTAATTCGATGATCTTCTCTGGCTACTTGTTCTAATGTAGGTTCATAGTAGAGATTTGAGCGTACCTAGGAAAATAGCAATAGAGACAAGACATTAAAAAAAAACTCAATATAAATCGGTGGACATTGTTAGAGATCAGAAGTTAGTTCAAACAAAAGTGTGATGATGCACTTAAATAGTTGAGACGATTTATATCACTACACAGTATGTGGAGTTGTGTTATCTAAAGTACTGAACTATAAGGATGTAGAAGTCATAGTAAGTAGTAATCTCAAAACTATGAGTAACTACAAGGCTGCCAAAGACTTCATGATCTTCTGGATTATTGTTAGGTCTTTTCAGTACTTGGGCGAGGAAATGTTTAGGGTATTATGTCGGACGCTCATGAGCCCACATTTGGAATATAGTATTCAAGCAGTGAGTCCTTGTTTCAAGTATGAGGCGAATATGCTAGGACTAGTTCAACGATGAGAGACCAAAATGGTAAAAAGACTCTCTGGACCATCTTATGAAAACAGACTGAGATACATCGACATATTTCCGTTATCGTACATCAGGTAACGGTTTGATCTAACATTGATTTATGATACAATGAACGATGATCTTCGTATTGATATGTCTTATCTTTTCCTTCCATCTAGGACTGATTATCTAAGAAGACATTCTAAAAAAGTTCAGAAACCGAGATCCAATCTTTTACATCTGAAGTCCCGTTTCTCGCAAAGGGTAGTAAATTAGTGGAATTCGCTAGCAGAACATGTAATATCGACACCTTTGTTGATACATTGAAAGCTTGTTAGTGTTATCAATTGCAAGGATTAATATCAGTTCGTTAAACCTCCGATCCTTACTTCTTGAGACTGAATACAAATGAGTTTTTACTTAATATGACAGCGGGAAACTGGCACTCAACAAATGGAATCATAATTGCTACAAAAATAATGAAGAAGAAAAAATCGATTATAATTCAAATGATTTTATTTATATCTCAAAAGGAGAAATGAAGATCAAAGTAACTAAATATACTTATTTACATATCGATCTTTTTGAAATTCCTATCACAATGGCTTAGAATGTTGATCCCTATTTCAGTTGCTTCTTAGAAAACATTCAATAAACGACATTTATTACCCGGTCTTGTTATAATATTGAAATTTTCATTGTTATTATTACTGTGGAGTATAATTTATAAATCACGTCAAGTCCATTTATCTGACACTTTTCTAGGTATAACTGTTTTAAGCTACTTATTAATATTCAGTAACCAGTTTCAAGTCAACAAACTTTCAAGCAACTAGTATGTCATGCATGTTGTTATACATTAATATTAATTTATAATATTTAGTTTGTTTATTATTTCAATTTCATTGTCACTGTTCCCGATTCTAGTATGTTGATTTAAAAAATTGTTTTTCATTGTATATGTCTCCATTTTTAGTATTTAATAGTCCGAATTTTCGACTATTGTCTACACAGTTGTAAGCTGTCAGTCATATAGTTTACCGGAGTATCCTTTCTTTGATTATAATGTTATAGTAATTACAATATGCACTTCACAGATCGAGGTTTGGAACTTAATCCATACATATTTTTGTAATAATGCTATCATATTACAGACAAACTTTGCATTTCTAATCTGTAGCTTTTAAAAATTACTCAATCATGTAGTCATAGTGTGATGTGGGTTATTTATATCCACATAAGTAGTACATAACGGTGGTCAGGCATAGAATGTATTTCAGTCGAAGATCGAGAAGGAAAGAATGGGAACAGAACGCAATTTGTATGAAAATGAATGAACAATGAAATCTGAGATAATGGACTGATATTTGCGAAGGAACAGTCAAATTTGGTACGATGGATTGATATTTTTCAAATTAACTATTTGCTATATGGTTATCAGATTTTATTGAGATACTCTGTAATTTCGTGTCACATACACTCGATTGTCCCCACTCGTGTTATTGTTTACTACATTTAGTGTCGCTGCTAACCAGGAGAGGAAGGGTGCTGTTTTGTGGACGCCGTTGCAGGCTATTAACAAAATGACTACGGAGTAAGTTATAAATGAACAGGGAACTAGTAAAGCTATACTCACATATCAGCTTATTTAACTAACTCATTGTTATAAACTGTAGCATTTTAAATTGCTGTAGGAATTCAGTGGCCCGAAATCTGATTCCATTTTAATCGTATGAATGTTTACTGTCGAAATATATATGTCACCAATCCTTGTAGATAATAATCAACTTAATCCGCTTTAATGAATAACGGAATCAAATAAGTGAAATATGAGAATAGACGTTTGAATACGTATATTTCATACAATCGTTGATCGAAACAAAAGATTAGAGAAGCAAAAAGCAGAGAACGAAGTGAAACGAAAGGATGCGCAATGGAGAAGGTATGTAAACCAACTCCATTTAATCAAGCGTTGATCGATATTTATAGTCACACAAGAATAAGCTACAGATATGTGATGAGTAGGATACGATGTACACACATATACGCTCGTATAAAAACAGTCAAGGTTGATAAGTGAATGATTACAAAAGACAAAATATGACTTAAAAAGAATTGATAAATTGGCCTATCCAAGGGTTACAATAAATTATGTGAGCTTGACATAGTAACCGACACTACACTCTGATAGAATGGAAGCCGGTTCAATTGTGAACATCCTCACCACAATAATAATATAGTAATCACTTACTTTATCGATTATTGACACTCGACGATCATCCAAGACTTTCAAATACTTCAATTGAAAAATTATTCTTTCAAAATAATTATTCTGATCACAAATTGGATTATTTTTTAAATTTAAATTTTGTAAAGATGTTAATGATTTAAGTGGCCTTGAATCAATTAACAAAAACAAAAGAAGAAAAAAAAGTATAAATAAACTAAAATAAAAGGAAATATTGAATAAATGAAAAAAAAGAAAATGAAGAATATTTGGAGGAACAATTGTTTTTGAATAACTTCATCATTAGGCTGTACAGTTACAAGTCCATAATGATTGTGATATCATAAAAAGGTCAAAATAAGACATGTATTGATGAATTTGACAATGTTATATGTTAGAAATGATGAATGTTTGCATCTGTTACGACATATACACTTCAAAATGATGCCATTTGCAAGTTAGAAAGGTCATTCAATAAAGGTCCGAATGATTTGGAGTAAAGTGTCCAGTTACAATCAGTGGAATAGTATTATAGCAAAAATGAAAATGCCAGAAAAAAAATTGTGTAAATAAAATGCATAGTAGGCGAATTTCATCATATCATCTTCTTTATCTTACGTCTGCTACTCCCAATGGAGCAAAGGCCACCGACCAGCATTCTCCAACCCACTCTGTATTGGGCCTTCCTTTTCAGTTCTATCCAATTTTTGTCTGTTGCCATATCATGCCGTAATGTGTTCTTTGTTCTTCCTCTTTTCCTTTTGCCTTAAGGATTTCAAGTGAGGGCTGGTCTTGTGATGCAGTTAGGTGCTTTCCTCAATGTGTGTCTTATCCACTTTCAGCGCTTCTTCCTGATTTCTTCCTCTGCTTGAATCTGGTTTGTTCTCTCCCATAGTAGGTTGTTGCTCATAGTATCTGGCCAACGGATCAGAAGTATTTTGCGTAGACAGCTATTAAGAAACACTTGTATCTTCTGCATGATGGCTTTTGTAGTTCTTCATGGTGGTACAACATATTCACGAACACGCAAGGATAAAGCCCTCTGAGTATGACCTATATAATAAGCTCCACAGAAGCATTCATTAATACATGCCTTATTTTGGGCCTTTGTAAAATATCACAATAATTAAGGACTTATAACTGTAGAGCCTGATGATGAAGTTGTTGAAAACAATTACTCGCTCAAATATTCTATGGGGATTTTTAGACTGCAAACAAAAAAAAGAAAAAAGAAAGAAAAAAAGAAAACTTACATTAAAGCTTGATCATCTATAATTTGATTTTGACTTAAATTAAGTGTATGTAAACGTTTCATCAATGTTAAACCATTAATGAAATGTATATTACATTTTTGTAAATTTAAATATTCAATATTAGATGGTAATAAACCATAACCATTAGGATCATTCTTAGATGAATTATATAATGAATCCTTATTATATAAATTCGTTTGTATAGAACACCATTCATTTCTATTGAATTGATAAGTTAAAATATGAAAAATTTGCGGATTATCACTTAAATTTAATAAACGTAAATTAGGGATACCTAATAATGTTGGTTGTAATTTATCGAAAAGATTCTTTTCTTTTAAATAAATCAATAAAGTATTCGTTGTTTCTAAGGGATTAATAGCACCAAGTTGAATTTCATTATGATTTAATCCTGTTAATATAGATGAAGTTAAATGACACGAGGTCATATCTAAATATCTCAGATTCATACATCCCCATAAACCTATTTTTTTGTAAAGAAAGAAAGAAAGAAAAAAAGATAGATGACAAGATAAAAGTTATTTATTTATTCATAAATAGTTTTTAAAAAGAAATAGAACGAGGATGATCATTTTGTTCCATAGAAATTATATCTTGTCAAAGATCATAACTATTATTATTTATTAAAAGGAGGTACTATTTGCATAGTAACTAAATTCCTGAAGGACTGAGACATTTAAAATTTGTTGATCAATGAGTAGTAATTTGTGATGAACCATTTAGACTAGATGACACATTGAGATTTGATCGATACAATTCTATCAATTTGGATAGTAACTAACTTCCTGAAGGACTGAGACATTTAAAATTTGTTGATCAATGAGTAGTAATTTGTGATGAATCATTTAGACTAGTAGACGTATCGAGACTTGATCGAAACAGTTCTATCAGTTTTAAAAAACGACACGGATATCACAATTATCATTAATCAAAATGATCGGTCAATTATACATTTTCATAGGAGCTGAATACTGCCCTACATTGTATGTTGTTAAACAAAATGAAATTCGTAAAAAAAAGAATGAGAATTAAATGCATTTCATGTTGTATAAGGAATTGTAGGCTGTTAAAAAGTACCAAGCTCTGATAGTACTTAAGTGTATTTTACATTCTAAAACATTGGTCTTCATTAATGCCAATAGAAGGTTGTTAACTGCTTTCCTCTCGGTAGTTTGTTTCATTATGTTGTAATTTAAACCAATACAATAACACTCATGTTACGTATATATATATATAGGGAGAGAGAGAGAGAGAGAGAGAGGACATAATGAATTATAATTGAAAAGTTACATTCATAGGAAACGTTTGCTTTAAAAAGATAAATTGTTATCAGGTATAATTTGCTTTATTGCAACAAATCAATTGATAACAGGATCGAGGGGTTTGTGTAGATTGTAGTAATTTAGTAGTTTAATTCATGAGTCGATTAAATCTAGACCACCGTAGAAAACCTGAAAGCACTGGACGGCCGTTTCGTCGTAGTATGGGACTCTTCGGCAATGCACATCTACGATCCCGCAGACTGCACTCAATCTTGCGAACGATTAACCTCTAGACCACTGAGTCGGCCAGCATTCAACGATGTTGATGTCTAGCTTCAAATGATCCATGGAATTGCGCCACCGTCCACTCTTGTCTTCAATGAGATACTACCTCACCGTGAATTGGCTGAAGTTAGACATTAACACCGTTGGATGCCGGTTCAGTTGTTTAGAGGTTAAGTGCTTGCGCACAAGACCAAACGTCCTGAGATTGGAACTGTAGATGAGCACTGCTGAGGACTTCCATACTAGGACGAGTTGGATGTCTTTTGCTTCCAGGTTTTCCATGGTGGTCTAGCTTTAACTGATTCATGAACTATTACTATTTGCTTTGATTATTAAAGTTGTTCATTTGATAAAAACAACCAATTAAAATGAATATCTCATTTATTTGGTATCTATTTAAGCCTAGAAGTTGAATGTATTGTTCTTATTGATATAATGGGTTTGTGAATATTATTAATCATCAGAGAGATTATGAACCCATATATATTAAAAAATAAATAAGGAAGACAAAGATTATCAGAACTATCTATCGACTAGACTAGTCTAGTTAACCTTTTACTTCTATATATAAATGTTCTTAACAAGTATGTGTGTTATCAGATTTTTCAAACTGTATCGCGGTAATATGTCACATAGTTCTGGTAATCTTCGTCTTCTTATTGCACTATCGAGATTTATCAGGGGAACTAATTGCTTGATATGAGTTAACTGCCAGACACCAATATGCCACAAATAAGAAATTACAGTTTAAACAAAACCAAGTCGCAGGAAAAAAGCAAGTGTTGAATTCCAGATCTTGAATGCTGATCTCACTCAGATCGGCTTATGATTTCAATGCAATTCAACGATCTCCAAAACCGTATACTTACAATTACATTTTGCGAACTGGTTTTAAATTTACTGTTGGTAACCCTCATCATTTAACAGGATTATACTTCAAGTCCTAGATAAAGATGAAGAATTTCGTTATTAAATTAGCAAATACATCTTTTAGCCACATTTTTTGTCTATAAAAATGTTTCGGTTTTCATTACAATAACTTTTAATAAATCAGTCAAATATGCAGTTTATTTCACAGTTTCTTAAATTTATTGTAACATTATTAATATTATAGGTTAATGTGACCGTTAGTGTAACCATTTTCTGAAAAAAATTAAATACAGGTAACATCAACTTACCGGAAATACTTGCTAATGGATTATGGGATGCATTTAATTTTTCTAAAAATGGTAACCTGTTTAGTTCTGGTAGTTCATGTATATCATTCTTTGAGATATCCAAACTAATTAGACTTTTGCAACCGATTACTGAAGAGACGTTATTTAAGAAGTTATTCGACAGATTCAAAATTTCTAATTTATCAGCATAAGTTAAAAGTGTAATATCACGCAGTTTGTTTGATGATAGATCTAATGACGTTAAATTTGTCCATTGAATTTGGTCAAGCGAATTGATTATATCATTTGAATTAGATAAATTTCCTTCAGAGAAGTGAAATGTTTGATCATTTGAGCACTTTCGTAATTTTTTTAGAAAATGATTTTCTTCATTTGAGGCAGACATTTCAACAATAACATACGTAACTTAACTAATTGGTTATGTTGAAAACCTTATGAATTCTTTTATCCAGACAGTGAGCAGAATTATCATATTTTTGAAAATCTATATGAATGAAATATTATAAAATTCAATCACTTGGATATATTTGACAGAAACATTGTTAACTATTGCTCAATAAATTTGCGGTAAATACTGAGTTATGTTAGGTAACTCTCAGCGGTTTATCGGTTCAAACTACCAAACTTCATTATGACATAAGCATGAACAGTGGTGTAACAACCTTTAATATGATAAGTTGAATTCAAGAGGATTCTCATAACTAAAATAAAAGGTATCAATGCATTTAGTGATTTAATTTGTAATAAATTAACTAACGTTTAAAACCATTTTTAACTATCATTTCGTAATCTATAGTCAAACAGTTCAACCTTGAATATTAGCATCTATTTGCACTTCTCATTTAATAGGTTGTGCCTTATTTTATGATACTTCAAATATACGAAGAACCATGTTAGTCTAAAAATGTAACTATTTAGTTCCACTTGATCCCTTAATACATTGTTACCGACCTGTTTGCGGTTCTGGATTGTTAAGAAAAAGCTACCAGTAAAAAGTGCCAAATTTATACTATTTGGTCTATAGTACAGAAGATAATCAACAACTAAGGTAAAGAAAATCTGTTTTCTATAGTATTCCTTTATTTTAAGAAGAATATTATTCTCTTGGAGCGTAATCAAGGAAGAGCAACTTAAATATGAGAGCCTCTTAGTCCACCTACAGGCTTTTAAGTCCCAGCTTGTGCAGTGCAGAACTGAATACCATGACTTATCATATCCATCGTACCAGTCTTCATCACAATAAACCACCAATACGTTTCAGTATTAAACCGCACTTAAGAATACATATGATCGTAATAGAAGAAAGAGCTCACATAAAAATTCATCTCCACTTCTAAATATACAGAATCAATATATTGGGGAACTCTCCACCAAAATTATTGTCAACAGCACTCTCTGCGAATCGTTCAAAACAAGACTTCATATTTACCTTAGTTCTTTAGGAATTCTTTGACAATCCTAATTATTACAGACTAATTTGTTTTGCTCTTTGGTCTCAGAAAGATCAAAACGAAGGTCAAACCTTACCATAACTAAGAACGCTATCTTACTATCAAGATGCAGATTATAGGTAATGAATAGTTTGTTGATTTTGACCAGTAAACCTCAAGGTATAAAATTCGAAGTATAGATATTTTGGAAGAACTAAAATATTACTTTAGTTGAGAGATATCAGGTCATAAAGATAAAGTGACTCGTAATGAAAATACGATTTTTCTAACTAACATCAAATACTTGAAGCATAGTCCCATGGTAATGCATCATGATCCTATGATACGACAACCTTGAGACATTAATCAGATACACTCTGGCGCACATAATCAGCTAAGAATTGTCAATTAATCTCATGTTACTTGACACGGAAAACAAGTGGAGCCTCAATAAACTTTTATTCTACAAATGTAGGAGAAGTAAGAGCAAGTTATTGTGACAATTGTTGAGTAGGTTCAATAAAATAAAAAATCACATCAACAACTGTCACAGAAAAACAGCTTTTTAAAGCTGTAGACAGCACAAATCAAAGTTTCGAATATCAAATAAGGGACAGATTGAACAAGGGTTATCAAAGAACTGAGAATTATGTAAATACTAACATTCACCAATAAGCCTTTCCCTTACGTTTTTCAGATACAACGGGAGGGTTTGGAGACTTTCCAACTCATATTAGATATTTGGATGAAACGTCCAATCATTTCCTTATCCTAGACAAGAAGTGACTTTTTTAAGATGTCGTCTTTATTAGCATTAGCGTTGCTTGGGTAATGTTGTCTAAATTTTATCAAGATTTGTCCTTTTTATTTATTTTTGTAGGCTTGGGATGCCATACATGATATTAAGTACGCCATTGAATAATAACATAAATTTTATTAAAATCGCTACAAAAAAATATGCGAAAACTTCGAATTTTCATGCTATGTAAATTATTTCATGAATCGGTTCACTATATATAGTGAACCTTCTCACTTCACTATAGTGAAGTAAGAAGGATCACTGTCGTAAATTAGAAATCTATTCCTATTAGAAGTCGCCCACTCCTCAAAATACCTGGAATTTGAGGGAAATCCCTGAAGACAAGTAACCTTCACCAAAATTAAGGAGAAATTTCAGGGGCTTTGGTACCGTTTCCTCATGTGTACACTTTATTAGAAAATACTGGTGATACATATTTTAATACATGGTAATTTTAAACATGTGTAAGTTGCCAACAAAGCAATCAAATATAAATAGATAAGAATTTGATTCACCGAAACAAAGCAATAAAGAAATTAACAATGGGCGAAACTACAATATTCAAAAATGTTGAAATGCTGTTGGCATAACGTTTAACCTCAAATGTCAATGTGCAATAATCAATATGCAATGTATTTACACTACTAGTAACAATTTTCTATGAAAATTATTGAATGTTTCGCCATTGTTTTTGTTACTTTACGGCTTTATGACTTCATTGATGCCTAATGGGCGGTAGTCTGGACATTCTACAACATAAATTCAGTCTGATTGACAGTTGTTCGTTCCTATACTTTGCAATGTTAATCAATACAGTTGTCGCAAATCATTACCGTTTCCGGATCCTAGAAGCTATCGCATTGTCAATCATGAGGTTGTTTAGTGGCATTGACAGAAGTAGCGAGGTAAATATTCAAATATTAAGAGACCACTGTTTCCGAAAGTATAACTAATCCTAGCGGGAGATGGTAATCAATGTGTGTGTGTTTATCAAATCTCTGGAGCCTATCCTCTCAATCGGCTGCAAAAATGGTGGGCTCAACGTGATGATGATATGATATTTATTATAATCACGATGGAATGATCCATCAAGCAGATCATCTCGAAGAGTTGATACTATGACAAAGTTCCAAAGAATTAAAACTATATCAGCATGTCCATGTCCTTGCTGTACTGGCTTCATTTAGTGCATTGAATCAGATATTGAGTAGTTTGAGATGCTCGTCAACTGAGTCAGCTACCTAGTTCATTTATCGGATGTATGTCGTTTGCGCAGTTTTTCTAGCTAAGTTCAGTTCAAAGTTGGTCTTTCCACCGTTAGACCCAGCTTCTCTGACTCCAATTTATTTATAAGAAGATGCTATGAAAACAAAACGTCAATCTAAGCGGGAATATGACCTAGGCTAACGTTATGTATGTGACGATGGTAATAAGAAGCTAAATATGATCGCGTTGGATGAATTAATTTCAAGCACAGCTTTATGCAGACAGGCATCCAGAAGCAAGATTGAGAAGCGGAACGGAGAACACGAAAGAGCAAGCGCATTTCAATGAAACATGGCTCGTTATTCGCTGTGTGGCGCGATTACTTGTTATGTCTCGACAAGAATAATGAATGGTAACTTTTGAGATCCATTTATGGAACAATACTAAACGTATGTTTCTATTGTATAATTGTTAAGTAACTAATCCATGCATATTTATATTCTTCTTATTATAAGCTTGATTTTTACCCATAATCTATCATTACAAGTCTTACTATTCTTGAGTTATACTACTTTCATCATTCACAGCCAAATCTCTCTAATTCTTGTACAAATGTTGTTTCATATTTTATTGGTACGTTGAGATCTGTTTGATTGGTATATAAACTCAGTATGTTTGAAATATAATAGTTGATATTTCAGAGGCTGAGATTGATGTTCCGGACTTAACTGGCTAGGCCAGGCGGAAAAGCAGGACCAGTAAAGACTCTAGGCTGGTCGCACGTGTTTACGCGTCTATTTATTCAATCGATAAGTCACCGCTCTCTGATCGTCAAGCACAAGATATAACACTACTGAAATATGATGGAAGACATGTTCTTACAGAAACTTCATATCACACATAAAACAGTAGGTTCATATTTCATTTACTGTAATAAAATACAAATATTACCAACTCGAATGGAATCGAAAAGACTAACAAAATTTACAACTAAAGGAATCAATAGGAACAACTGCAAGGGTATACATGGTGGGACCCTACATACATTATGTCAAGAATTACTGTTTTCAAATATTACCTAGGCATAAAAATATTTATTGCTTTCTTTTAAAGTGTTATTCAGCATATAACACTTAGGGAAGTTCGGAACTGACGGACGCATTAAAAATTGATCGGGATCGCATAATTCGACACTGAAAGTGTGCTCATTCTGTATAACTCTTGTGTTTTTACATCAAACGTACATTATATTATCTCCAGAGGAATTGTGTATTTCATAATTAATAAACATCATATTGCCAGTTGTTATGATAGGAAAAGTCAGTACGGATATTTTACGACTTCCATTTCAACAAACCAAAAAAATCAGTCCATTCAAGGCCTGCAGGATAATAAAGAGCTCGATAAGAATCGATGTTTCTTTTTTCAGAAGTTACAAGCGCGGATGGAATATTTTTACAATCTGATTGGCCCTAAGTTTTGATCGATTCTATACTAAACAAATTTTCCGTGTTTTAGTCTGATAGGAGTGATGAAAATACGTTATTACATTTGCCCATTTTGTACAGATTTTGTTTGCATACGCGAATTTTACAAAATGGTGACCGCTAGAATATGCAACGAAAATTACAGTTAAAAACCTAAGGATTACAAAAAATGATATATGAATGTCTCGATGTAGTTTATGAACGACAGCTGTTTGAGCTATTTCGATTTCTCAGCTGCTTTCAGACTATCTGTACAGTTTATTTGATTAAAACATTATAGACTCTCAGACTACTAAATGAAATCGCGTCCTTGACGACTTATATTTATGAAAAACAACTGCATTAAAAACAACCGTCCATTATGTGAGGTTTTATGTAGATGGATGATATACCAGTAATTCCTGGCTTTGACGTTTAGTGATAACTAGCAACAATGAACATTGAAAGATAACCTCAGTGCAACTTGGTCGACAGCATTCGATCTGCACTAAGAAGGACTTGACCCATACGACATCAATTAGGAGGACTCCTGATAATATCCTGCTAACCTAAGTGATCCACAACGAAATATTGCTTATTTAATAAACGTAATGAAGTTCTATTAGTCGTTCAAGGGTGTGAATTTTACCAAAGTTCAGGCAACATATGTAGTAACTTTTACGCTTCTACTTGTCGGCGGGCAACGTTGCGTTATTTTACGTGTAATCGACCAGTGGACGCCATGTTTAAAAGCACCAACTACTGCATAACAGCTATAAGCGAAGAGCTGGAAATATTTCTGTTTTATAGGAATGAAAAAAGAAATATATTCAAGACATGACATTAGTTATTCCTTTGTGAGGCATACATTATATAGACAAAAATATATATAATAGATTTGCCTATAAACAATGAGTTTAAGAATTTCAATCTAGATATTTAATTCGAGCATTATTGCATAATCTTAGGAACCTACTGGTTTCAGCTAATATTTCCTACGTATCATCGTTTGACTTCAAAAACGCTGATTACTCCATTAATCCGCTACATATTATATTTGGTCACCATTAGGTTCTAGATTTCTAACAAGGACTTAACATGTTAGCGGCCGGCAGAGAGTAGAGTAAATTATTGGCTTACAATACACATTATATACACATATGTATATTAATGACGTCAAAGAATCCCAGAAAGCGATAACATGAGCATCCAACTTATAAAGTAAAAGAAGTGATGCTAAAAAATGATAAAATAGTTTAAATTCAATAGATAGCTTTATTTACACTTATTTATAGGAATTTATTTTCAAAGTGACTTGTTTGTATGTGCAAATAGTCATGTGTCTGTTGTAAATGTAAGCCCCGCAAGATACGGATTTCGGTTTTCCTTATAGTCAATTTTTGTGAGGAACATTTAATTACTGTCCATATGTTCAATATACTGACGTTTTTTGAAATTTATCACGTGTTTCGGGACTAAACATTTTAAAAATTAAGATTATTGCTGAAATTCAAATTACTTGAAAGGTTAAACATTTGAGGCGAATGCCCAAAAACATTATTAAAATGTCGCATTGTTTACATTTTCAATTTATTTGTGAGCACGCATTCTGGATGCGGTTTTTCATACTCATAACTGGGATGTTTGTAATAGTTTGTAAAACATAAAATCCTTATGCAATATATAATGTGCTATTATATTGTGGATTTATGTCGACGTTTATTCTCACAAGATTCTCAAAGTTCGAAATGACGAACAAGATATGCTCAGCACTTGGCACTCTCTGTTAATCAGTGAGCACGGGGTTTCTGAAGGCTTTTTCTGTTCTCTTTACGAAACTTGTTTTAAATTAGTACGTCTTCTTTTTCCGCAACGAAAGGCCAAAACTTTTAATAATAAGTTAGAGATTAAAGCAAAATCTGAATTCCACTACACATACGTACACGAAGGCTATTCGGTCTTTTGTCATTTGTGGGGAATGAGTCTGTATAAAATCTAGTCATTTCCCGAAGTAAATTTAACTTCCTAAGTCCTACTTACAAAAAAGTACTTAAGCAAAGATCCATATATTTATTATTAACTAATGCTAAAAATCAAACACCTTAGCTACTTGCTTACTACAGTGACAGGATATATATATTCTATCACTGACTTGGAAGGAGAAACCAAGTATTTTAAAATGCGGTTAAGTTGTGTGTTAAGTTATGGATTGGTAAAATGTTTCACAATTAGCACTTTACTATTAATTTTGGCCGCCAACGTTATTATGATTTTAGGCTGCGTGATTTGATTGAAAAAAACCAACCATTTTGTAGTTTGCTAGTGTAGATCACCAACGTAGATGATCCATGTCGATCTATAAGCAGAGGAAAACCAACAACTCGGGTAACTGACTTAACAATCGAAAGTATCGACCCTAAATATTGCCAAAATGTTTTGGTTGTAACAAATCAGCCCGTAGTTTAAGGGTTATTAGATCGGTAACATTTACATACTTGATAACTGATATTTCTTGAAGTTTAATGATAGAATAATCTATTACAACTAAATGTCCTTATTGTCTCTTTTATTTAGTAAATAAAGCTATGAATTATTAGATTGATAATAATATCTTTAATGGATTTATCTTTTATGGCATTGCATGTTGTAATAATTTTTTATCAACTTTAAAGTGAAAATCATTAAAATTTCATTAGAGTTTCTTAAAATAAACCCTATGCAGTTCTTAGCTAAACAGAATGTCTTTTGTGATTGGGTTGCCGAGATTTTAGATATTCATTCAGGCAATTTGTATTTACGTAAGATATTTCGTCACACATGAAAGTTCCTATTACTTAATTAGCCAATATTTTATTTCTAATGTAACGATTTCATGTGTTTTATCAAATCTAAAGGAATTCATGTTCAGACCAAAAACCTTTGTTGCA